TGTTGCCTGTATGTGAGCCCATTTAGGACAGAGTCCTGCAGTTGCAGAAAGAGCTGTGGAGCTCCTCAGTGGGGTAGGGTTCTGTCTTCCTTTCCCCAGCACTCTCTCACATCATACACCGTGCATGGGTGCTCTCTTTAATGCTATCCTCTCTCAACTCTGCAATTTATGGTGCAGTCATGCCAGTGAGAGGGAAAGAATTAGTCTTTGTTGTCAGAGGGTATGTGTGTATTAAAAGGCTCTTGTGGCAACCAGCATTTCAGAACCAACACCCATACAGGACAGCAAGGAAGGAAAGAGAGGAGGAATGATTTGGGTAATCAAGACAAATCCCACTATGAAGGAACAAGTCTTCAGTAAGAAATGGCAGCAATAGTTTTAGATAAAAGCTAGATCTAGTATATTTGCTCTCTATCCTCTGGGATATGTCTTTTAAACTAAGTTGCTTAAATGATGAAGAAAGAAGAAACTGGGGAACCCTCAAGAGGCTTATGGGTGAATTGTTAGACTGAATCAAAGGCTGGCAATAGTTTTATTCTGGAATGAAGTAAAAATCTGAGATTCTGATCACATAGCAGAGTTAAAAGAGAGAATAGAAAAAAGTGCCATCTCTAGGCCTGGCACATAATGATTCAGAATAATTATTTTTGCATCTTGTTGAAGTAATGAGTAAATGTAAAACCAAAAATAAATCTTGAACAGGTCTTTGTGCACCTATGGTAGAGCCAATAAATGTCTTATTTATGATCCTATTTTGATAACTAATTCAATATGATTGATTTCCTTTGTAATCCAGTGCATTTTATTTGCTGCATTTAATAGCATGGCTATGAGAAGGAGTCTGAAGGCTTCAACACAGACTCCCAAAGGAGTTGATGGCAGAAAAAAGGTTAAGAACTTTTGCTACGGGGAGATGGGGAACCCCAAATAATTTGCAGGTGCCTTGAACAAAGATACACGTATTACAGATGAATTGGTATGAGATATGGTAAGCAAGGACCATTAGGGGTGGGTGGTGGTTTTCAGGAGGAGAAAGCTTTTGCCTAGTTTGAAGTCACTGATGTTGGATGACAATTGAATAGGATTGTCAGTAATAGTTGGAAAGGTATGTAGGCGTGAAGAAATGCCTGTTGTAGGTCCTTTTGGGCCTACTGGGCAGATGGGTGGAACAGAGGCTATTATTGCTGGAGGGGGTATGAGGGATTTATATGACCTGAGGATCTTGTACAGCAGTAACAGAAACACGTCCCCAGGACTCTGTGTGTAGCTTATCAGGGCACTCTTTTGGAGGGGAAGGGAACAGGAGTGAGTGGGGCCCCTGGACAGTCTACCTGTGATGAGAGGGCATCACAGATTGTACCTGATGAACTTTGAAGAAGAACAAGTCTCATGGACTCAGATAGCAGCCTCAAAGGTGAACCTGCATTTCTCTGTCCATTCCAATTGCTCATTTTTTGGGTGTGTTTTTCAGTCTCTAAACATTAGCATGGGGGTTTTAAAGCAGTGTGCTCATGGAGTTTGCATTAGTTGTTACTCAATCCTCTACCAAGCTAAAAGGATATAAACAAGTTGGTTTAAAATGTTGACTCTTGGGCTTCTCATCACTTCTCACTTATGAGGCAGCTAGATGGTGGACAGAATCCTGGGCCTTCAGTGAGGAAGAACTCAATTCACATCTGGCCTCAGACACTTACTAGTTGTATGACCCTGGGCAAGTCAACCTGTTTGCCTCAGTTTCCTCATCTATAAAATGAGGATGACAATAACACGTCCCTCCTAGGGTTGTTGTGAGGATCAACCGAGATAATATTTTTAAAGCACTTAGCACAGTGCCTAGCACATAGAAAGCACTATATAAACGCCTTATTATTATTATTTCCCTGCCTATATAGTGGTCTTTATCCCTGACTGCTTTTCTTCTTTCTGTCACTCAGTTATGCTGAAGACCTCAATACTCCATCACTGCCTGACCCAACTGGGAGCTTATTTCTTTTTCCCAGATGTGAACTCAGAGGGAAACCCCAGGAACATGTGGCTCTGGGGGCAAGGAGCAAAGAATGTACATATGTGGTTGGGAAGCCTGGTATTCATATTTGATTTAGTTTAATTCAGCAAATATGTATTAATCATCTATTATATGCCAAACACTATTTTTTCTTTAGGAGCTTACATCCTACTGGGACAGGATGGAGGCAGGGGACAACCTGTATACACATAACTAAATCAAAATTGTATGAACAGTAAATAGGAAGTATTTTTTGGGGGAGTGCTAAGAATTGTGGATGAGGAAAAGGCCTCATGTAAGAGGTGACGCTTGAGCTAAGACTTGAGTGGAACTTTGGATTCCAAGAGGTGGAGGTACAGAGAGAGAAAAGTGAAGCATGGAAAATAGCCTGTGCAAAGGCTGTACAAGGAAGAACAAGTAGGCAAGTTGGGCTAAGAGCAGGAGTTCTCAGCTTGTGTGTTTGTGTGTTTTTGTGTGTGTGTGTGTGTGTGTGTGTGTGTGTATGTGTGTGTGTGTGTGTATGTGTGTGTGTGTGTGTGTGATTGTCTCCCACTGGTAGTCTGGTGAAGATTATGATGTAGTTTTAAAATGTAAAACATAAACAATGTAGATTACAAAGGAAACCAGTTACATTGATATATAGTTATCAAAATACTTTTTAAAAAAGTAAGTTCTTGTTGTGTAGAATCGATAACACTTGGCAACTGAGTGGATGATCTCTAACCTTGAGGCTCTCCCCAAAGATGCTTTCTGCTCACCACACATTCCTCTTTGGACCACTCTGATAACATCCACACTGATCTCTGCAGCTGTGGCTCTTATGGGCTGGATTGTCTGGGATTTCCTTATGGGAATTCTTAGCACTTATTTTGTCTGGGTGGCTAGATTAAAGGAAAAAAAGAAACTGTTTAGCCAGAAAGTTCGCCTGTCTCTGGCTAGCCTCATAACTGCAGTTTTGTATCAGTTTTGGTTTTCTTCTCCTAATGTTTGCACTTGAGATAGTGATGGTGTGTCAACAACCTGGACCTCAGATTCTTCTATGTTGAGGAGGACCTGTATAGATGATATTACAATTCCATAGAATGGAACCTCCTTGAGGGCAGGGAGTTTATAACCTCAACATCTAGTCTAGTACCTTGCACATAGTAGTTACTTAGCAAATATTTGTTGAATCTATTTGAATAACAGACCAGAGTGAGAATGAGCCACATAGACTTGGAAAAAAAGCCTTTTTCTTTGGGGCTGAGGCTCCAGACTTATGTCAGGAAGGGTGGAAATTCCAGCTTAGGTCCAGGAAACCTAATCAAACTTGAGAATCAGTGGCAACACAGAGACATAGATACGTGCACACACACACACACACACACACACACACACACACATGTGCACACACTACAATGTCCCCTCAGGGCTATGAGGACAAGATTAGGATCATACCCCTTTCCCTCTGGGTCATACTTTCTGTACTGGCTGTGGCTACCCATGGCTTTTCAGCTTAGTTTCTGATGACACGAGAACTGGGGTTTATTGTGGCTTTTGAAGGGTTAGACCTGTGAAGGGGTTTAAATGAGATAGATGGCAAAAGATTCATCTCCAGGTTTCTAAGGAAAGGCATAAGGTGGAGGATTTCAGATGTTGGTATCTTGAGATATGGATATATGAGAAGGTAAACACAGAGGCTATAACTGAGGAACTGCTGCAGAAGAGTGGCAGGTATGGAGGAAGATGGTGATGTTGAGGCTGAAATGTAGAATTTTTGGTTGCTGGGTAGGAGATGTTTATGGATACAGTTCCTCAGATGGTACTAAGAAGATGCCTCTTTCTGTGGTATAAGCACAGTATTTAAATACATTGCAAAGAATTGCATTCCCTCCTCCCCCTTCCCTTTCCCCCCATCCAAATCTGACTTGGACCAATATGGCATAGAGAAATGAGCACTGAACTTAGAATCTGATGACATGGTTTTTAGTCCTGGCCCTTGCTAGCCATTTATTAGCTCTGTGATTTTGGGAAAGTCACCTAACTTTTCTAAATCACCATTTCCTCATAGCTAAACGGAGATTAAATTGTGCCTGTACCACTTATAAGACTGATATGAAGAAAAAATGAGATAATATATGTAGAGTTCTTGATCATCATAAAATACTATATAGATCTATTTTCCCATTAGATTGTAAGCTCCTTAAGGACAGGCCTGGGTCCTACTGATCTTGTATCTTTACTCAGTGCTTATCACAGGGCCTTGTGAGAAGTAGATTCTTATTAATAACTGTTGAATTAACAACTTGTCATGCAGTAGAGGAATGAAGAGTGTCACTGTATGTATAGTGTGTGGCCCAACCGTCTGAGACATAACCACCTCTTCCTCCTGGATACATGTGTGGGTAAAGCTCATGTTCAACTTAGAAGTGAGCAAAGTTCTTCCTCTTTTAGGTCTATGAAAGCAGCTCAGCTCTCCACAGGAAGGAGAGGCCTTTTCTTTCCATCAGGGCAATCATCATCAGTGGTGAGTTATACTTTAATGTTTACTAAGCACCCACAGCTTTCTGGGCAGTGAAGAGAATTGGCAAAAGGCACAGTTACACAAAAGACCTGATGGTTCTCTTCCTGGGGCAAACATTGTTGGCAGACATACTTCTAGGTTAGGGGGAGAAATGGGGCCCAGCTCCCTTTCTGCCAGCTTCTTCTTGGTCCCCCATCCTCTGAGTGGGTTATCTCAGAAGAAAGTAATGAATAGCATAGGATTGAGGGAGGGGGGAAATAGGAAGAGAAGGGATTTTGTCAAAATGAGCAGTGGCAGGAATCTGCAGGCAATCAGTATGTAGAAGATTATTGCCTTTATTAAGGACCACTAAGAACAGATGAAGCTTGTTCAAGGGGGGCTGCATATGTGGCTAAGGGACCAGCAGAGGGCGGCAGAGAAGTGCAAGTGGTCCATGGGTGAGCCCGTCGAGGGCTCCTGAAACCCCAGCACTATCTAAAAGAAGACTGAACACACAGAGCGAGCTCTCAGAATCCGAGTCTCCTACAGAGAGGCTGCTTCATCAGGGGAGAATTTTTTTTAAAGTGCAGGACATTTTAAAGCCATGGCAAGCCCTTCTGGGACCCCAGAAGACTCGGGGAAGCAGCGAGGCAGGGATGGCAAGATGAGGAGGGAAGAGGATGATGCCCCACCGGAGGGGAAAAGGCTCAAGCTAGGGAAGGAAGGAGGAGACAGCGGGAAGGAGGAGGGAGAAGACATGCCATGTCTGGGCAGGGAAGACACCGGGACCCAGACAGGTGGTGAAGGCAGAAGTGTAAGTGAGAAGACATGCCTCTACCTGCTGGGGAAGTGGTGGGGAGGGGTGGGGCAAGGGGAAAAGGATGTTCTGAATTATTTGTCATGGTGAAGTTGATAACTGGGCACTGGGAAGTGTAGGTGGGACATGACAAGACTATCTGGGATCCTTGAGAAAGTGGAAGTGTGGAATTTTTGGTTCATTGATTATAAGCCCTTTTCTGCTTTAGACCTGATTTCTTAAGTAGGACCTGCCTTGTACCTGAGACTTGTTTTAATAGGCAGTTTTCAAGAGGGTAATGCATGGGAAACTCTGCATCCCAATGGCAGCTAGAGGGAGGGGGAGAGTTGAGAGAATGGCAAAATGGGCTAATGTGAGAAAACCTCTTGGTGTTGATTCCACTCCTCCCCCCCCCTTTCCTGGACAGGGCTGTTTTCTAATGTTTGATGGACTGCTTCTGTGGGGATAGCTCCCACCTGACAATGGATGTGTATATGTGTTGGAGGGTGGGGGGTGGCTGTGGTGGTAGAACTAACCAGTGAAGGAGTTGATTGGCAAAATCTTTTCAAAAATTCCTCTCTGTTTAGAGTGTTGACTAACTAAGTTGCCTTTAAGCCCCTTGGATTTTCCAGGGGTCTTTTAACTGCTTGGGCACTGCTGTTTCATATGGATTGAGACAAACAACATGAAGAGTTCAGAGAGGAGGTAGGTGAATTCAGACCTAGCAGCAGCTTCCTCCCCTCACTCCCCACCCAAGGTACAGGAAGGCAAAGTTTTTGGCACCCCTCCTTGCTATAACCTCAGCTCTTGGGGGAGAGAGAGAGACAGAGAGAGAGAGAGAGAGAGAGAGAGAGAGAGAGAGAGAGAGAGAGAGAGAGAGAGAGAGAGAGAGAGAGAGAGAGAGAGAGAAATGAGAATTTGCATATGTTTCTGTCTGTGTGTGCACCTGCATGTGTGTGTGCACTCATGGTTCATAGCCAATTGTACTCTGTACTGTCTCTCTGGCAGCAGAGGCAACTTGTTTTATTTCTAGGGCACCTGGAACTGACCTTCTTGACCTTATAGTTCTGGATTCAGATGCTTTAGTTGAAAAGATCAGGGCTTCTCAGATTATATTGCTTTCTTTGGTGGAATTCCCTGTCTCAAGAGTTTTGCCTAAACAATGGGGTAGCTTGTTTGTTTCCAAAGATTTTTATTTTTAACCATTTGCCTGAGTGAGTGTGTCTTAAAATTTTGATTAGTGTATAATGAGGTGCTGCACGGGAGACTTCACCTTCTTCCTTCCTGAATCCATTTAGGGAGCAATCAGCCTGTCCTCTTCTGATAGGCAACATCATAACTAACTGACCTGACACAGACTCAATCCAAGAATAGCACTGTACTACAGCTGTTGTTTTGATATCTTCTTGATAGTAGCACACACATCTAGATTGCAGTGATTATATTCAGTAGCTGGGGCCACCAAAGTGCTCAAGCTAGATGCTGCTCTCACTTAAACTTCTCTAGAAGTCTAGCCTTTATTTATTGGAAGGTTGGCCAGGGAGAGGTCATAGAATGCTCCTTAGGGTGCAAGAGAGGACAGTGTCAAATGCCACAAACCCAGTTACTATGGAAGTATAATGCTAGGAAACTTTTCCTTTCTTTGGAAACAATTCTCTTCTTTCCTACCTTCTCTTCCTTCATTTTTACTCTTCTTTGTAACTGTTAGTTGAGCCCTTCTGGGTGTTATGTCTAGCGCAATGGCATGTTCTAAGAGATTGAATATAGTGGATTGGATCAAAGTCTCGTGTTTAACCTCTTAGGAAAGTTTAAATGAATTGCATTTTGGTAATGAGATTATTTAAAGAAGAAAATCCCATTAAGCCTTTTGGCAAACAAAGGAAAATGCTCATCTACTTCTTTGGTGGATTATTTTAATTGGACAGCACTTGTCTTCTAATCCTAAACATACTCTCATTTGTATAATAATTCTCTTGGCATGACCTAAGCAGGGCTTATATGAACCTAATGGCTGTGTGACCATGGGTAAGTCATTTAACCTCCCTTAGCCTTGATTTCCTCATCTGCAAGAGGAGGGAGTTAGATTAGATACTCTAAAGCAATTTCTAGTTTGGACATTCTGTGATCTATGATGTCTTGACCTTTTCCTCTTAAATGGCTGTCTTAACGTCATTCATAGTGGCTTCCCTTCTCTACTTCCATTCACTTGACACTGATCATCTTCTTCCTGTTCTCTTCTCCTGATAGTACCAAAGATAAACTACAAAAGGTTAAGAAATTGTCTAGTTAATTTGATTAGTATAGACAGTCAATATCTATAATTAAGTTACAACAAGCCTTATTCTTCAATAGATGATTGACTTGACTCAGGCTGCACCTGAATAAGAAACTCTGTAACATACTGAAGATGTGGCTAGCCAGTATTTGCTTGAAGACCTCTGGTGAGGGAGAAGACATTCTCTCCAATGTTATCCCATCTCATTTTTGTGTAGTCATAGTTGTTAGGAAGATTTCCTTCTATCCAGCTGAAGTCTGATTCTTTGCTTTGTCCTTGGTTCTGGTCTCTGCAGACAAGTAATGGAATTCTAATCATTCTTCTACAAGGAAATCCTTCAGATATCTGAAGACATATGCTTCTTCTTTTCACCAGACTATGCTTTCCTAAGTCCTTCAATAGATGACATATGATGTATCTATGTTGATGTCTATACTAGCAAAAAGAAAGTAGAGAACAGAGACAATTATTTGAGTAATTCAGATCTCTCTTTTCTCAAATGGTTTTGCCTATAATATCTAACATATTGAGCTGCATTTTTGATGAGCTGTAAAGATCCAGACCTTCTGCATAAGCCTCAGGACACTTCTAGGTAGGGCTTTACTTAGTGCCTTCCAAATAATCAAAAAATTCTCATTTCTTTTCATCTCTGCTTTTACCTAGAACCTCAGGAATAATGTTTGTTGGTTAGTATGGTTTTACTCATCATACTGGGGAAGGGCAGAAAACTATTCTGTTATGTTTGATTGTGTAGTTTTGCCAATATAGAGGTTTCAGACTAATACTGTTATCTAGATCCTTGAATTCACAAGGGCTTGTATATTTTCCACTGAGACATTTTTCTGGTGGCTCTTCTGAGTCAACTAGTGTTTACTAAATGTCTACTATGTGTCAATCACTGTGATAAATGCTGGGATTATTTAGTAACTTAATAAATTGGGTAATTAAAAAAACCTGAAATATCAAGTCCCATTTCTGTTACTACTTGGGTGTCAGTCTGGTATTCTGAGAAAAGCAATGGATTTCAGGTAAGAAAATCAGCTTCAAGCCCTTCCTCTGTCATTTACTACCTATGTGACCTAGCACAAGTCACTTCAAATAAGATGATATTTGTAAAACACTTTGAAAACCTTAAAGTGCCATACAAATGCCATTATTATCATTACTTTCCCTCTCTGGGCCTTGATTTCTTCATTTTTAAAATGAGGAGGTAGGAATAGATGGCCTCTGAGGGCCAAATCTAAAACTATGATCCCATGGTCCTAATTTCCAACTTTTAGGAATTCTTTTCCTTTGGTTAAGTAAAAATTTCTTAAGGAAATGAAATGCTAGAGTCACTAGGGTGCAGGAGGTCTAATTCATTATGGTTTTAAAGATTCCTGAGAGACAGTTTGGTGTAGTGGATAGAACGTTAGCAAAATATGTAATTCCTGTTCATGCCCTCGTGTAAATTGTGAAATAAGTTCCATAGGAGGTAGCACTTTGGGTGGGAGTGACTAGGAAGTTCACCCACTTTCAGAAACCCAGGAATGGAAAAGGAAGGAGTGGAGGAGTCTTTTGAGTGGAAAGAGGAGCAGAAGATATGTGTCTGAGCTGGAACAAGAAGCCATGCTGTACACATTAGACATTTTAGACCACTTAGGGAAAGTGGGTTCCTTTGTACTTTTTCATTTCCAAAGTTGTTTTAGGGTTAAACTGGATCCATTTCTTGCTTTAGCAATTTTAGGATCTTTAACAAATATACAAGGATGCTGGAGCTTGATTTATGCTTTTGAATTCACAAGACTCAAAATCTGTGAGTTAAAATATCTCCTGCTACTTTTAATCCCAGGCAGTCTCCAGTTCTGCCTGTCCATATGTGCCATGACATGGAATTTATAAACTGTTTTTAACAATTGGTTTGGATAGAGCTCATTTGTGTGTGTGTGTGTGTGTGTGTGTGTGTGTGTGTGTGTATTGTGTTGGTGTTGATGGAGGTGGCAAAGTCACTACAAATCTTTTTTCCACAGACTAAGCATATGCTTCTAAGAGCAAGGCTCTCCTACTTCTGATTTTCCCCTATAAGACATAGACTTTGCAGTGCTCCAATGATTGTTGATCACAGGACCAAAGATTTAGAGCTCAAAGGGACCTCAGAGGTCATATAGTCCAACCTGCACATTTTACAGATGAGGAAAACTGAGGTCCATAGAGGTTAAATGTCTTGACCAAGATCACACAGGTAACAATTGGTAGAAACAGGATTTGTACCCATGTTTTCTGATTCAATCCAGTTTTTTTTCCTATTGTACTATTATTACCTCTACTTCAAAGTCCTGATTTAGTTCTGTTTAATGTCCTATTTTTCTAGTTCCTTTTTTAATTCCTATAATTTTCAGGTTGCTAAGTTGGGGTTAAGTTAGGGCTGTGTGAAAGGTCTAGGACAAATTTGTGAGCCTTCCTGAATGTATCTTTAGATTATAACTGTTTCTATAATCAGGGCAGAGGAGGAAAACATTCCTTGTCCTGATGAGCCTTCTCCTAGTTTGTCTTTCTTACACTGAATCTGTATGCTTAGCATTTTTGTGCTCCATCTTTTCATCTGAACTACCACAGTACTTGGAAATCTAGATGAACCTTTGGTGCCAAAGATGTTCCAGTGATTCTCCCTTTCCTTCCCTTCCTCCCCTCCCCTGCCAAGATTCTCTACTGGGACAAAACACACAGGTTTTTAGCTTACAGAGGAATGAGTTTTTGTATTGTC